TTTATAACACCCAGAAGAAAACGTCGGAGACCCTATAAAGTATTTAAACGCGAACTACTTCCTAAGTTTTTGAGATATCGATCAAGAAGAAATAAGAAATGCACCTGTGAAGAGTATTATACGTTAGGTGTACCGAACGGTTAACGCTTTTCTTGTTTTATAAGCATTAAGGTTTATCGTCAAAAGTACACTGGGATTTTTAGGATTTGCTTGTCGAGGGCTGAGTTGTCGACCCAATTATTTATGTGTCTTCTATGCTTTACTTAGCCTCTCATTCAATTAAGAAGAACAATTTAAAGTAAATGAAATTATGCACATACATGCACATATATATCCAGGAACAATACAAATTATTTATAGTACTCGTGAAGTAGCTTAGCGACTGTTGATAAGCGCATATATCTGAGTATTGCTGAGGGAGAGTTGCCACTTTTATTACTTTTTTATACAGAAACCATACTGAAATATTTAATTTCATACGTTCTTACCTCAATTAAAATTTATTGATATTGAATTACAACTTTATTTTTATACTCTCGCAACCTGCTGCTAGAGGTATAATAGTTTGTTCACCTAACGGTTGTTGTATCACCTAAACTAATCGAGTTAGATATAGGGTTATATATATATAAATGATCAGGATGAATATATCGGGGTAAAACTTTGCGTTAATAATACGTATGCCACCTTGTGACCAAAATTGTCTAAATCGAACTAAACTGTTCAAGCCCCTAGTACTAATATGTGCACCCCATGCCTATAGGATCTTCTACTGATATCAGTCAATCCATAAAGAAATCAAACGAGTATACATTTGACTTTGCGAGAGTAAAAATGTTCGGTTACATCCGAACTTAGCCCTTCCTTACTTGTTTGTTATATGTTTTATTTAAGCAATTATGAAAATTACTATATGGTTGAAAATAAGCCAAATGCTGTTACAATTTGTACCGATCAATATTAGCATACTCTCAAAAATCTGTGAAGCGCACTCAATTTCCCTAAGTGCGAGCATTGATAATCACCTCAGGTGTTACACGCACACATACGCACTTCCATATATAAAAAGGCACACTTAAGTAAAGCCTATTACGTATACATACTCCTAAGAGTTAGAGCTCCAGACGTGGAGGCCATTCAAGAGGCTTGCACCGGCATACTGGCGGCTATACCGGGCAACGAGCTAAAACATTCGTTCGACATGCTTTTGGACCGTGCAAAAAGCTGTATTAAAGCAGAAGGAGACTATTTGAACAAAATTAATTGATTTTGCCGATAAAACCATTTGTTCTGTCTTTTTTAAAGTCCTGTTTACTTTGGAACACACCTTGTACTTATACATACATATAGGTAGCTACGTGAGAAAAATGTCTAATTATTCCAAATTCATAGTAATTGAGAAAAAGTGAACTCAGTAATACATTGTAAAGCTAAGAATGATAGTGCGCTTTTCAGAAAATTATAGTTCCAGAGCAATCATTGCAAATTTTTGTCGCGCTTCTTTTGTAATAAAGTGGGTAATTGGTAGTTGGCGGTTTTAAAGTCTGGTGTAATGTTCTGTATTAAAACTTTAACGAGTTTATTGTATAATAAGAAGTATACAGAAATTTTCATAATCATCGGAGTGTTTGAGATATAATATATTATTCTAAGAACAAGTTAAGTTTGATATTTAGATTGGGATATTTAGGATATTTTATAGCAGGAAATATGTTCGTTCTCTTGAGATTTTAGAGCAAATGACAATTAAAAGTCCCTTAAAAAAAGATTTAAGTCATCTTATTAGTTCCACTCCATTAAGGAGAACACTTGCAAATAACTTTAGATTTTCTCGAGCAACGCCTTTGACGATGACCATTTAACCTTTCATCTCCTAATATTGTTCGTTCAAACATCTCGGGCGAATTCAATTATTATAAATATTGGTAAAATATAGCTATGATTCCTTCCAATATAAGGGAATTTTCCTTTCATAATACAAAATTTATTATAGCCCTTAAGTTACACCAATTGTGAATTAAAAAAAAATTTTTTTGCATATACTTGTACATATATCGAATGTATATACCTATCTTTGAGAATATTCTCCGTAAATGAGGTTGGTCAACAAACAGTTTCTCTGTTCTTCCCGATGGATTTAAAATTTTCACACGATCTTCAAAGCTATTTTTTAAGCCTTTCTGTAGTATACATTTTGTCACAAAAATGATTTTGTATTGGAAAGCCGTCATATGTCGAAAATCAAAATTTTTCTGGTCCTGAATTCATATACAGTAATAATAATTTTTTTTGAACGTTGAATACCCAAAAACTGTCTTCTTAACGGCTTATACAATAGTAAATTGAACACATTTTGTAAAGTCTAAAGCAATAATTTATATATCAGTAAACTAACACTCGAGAGAAAATTATGCATATCAGCCATCTACATTAGAAATACATATTTGTTTCTTAGTTGCCGTATACATAAAAGAAGTTTCAATTAAGATACCGATCTGCTTTTCAATATCGTGCTATATTGGTAATAACGCCTTAAAGATCGAAGGTACGGCACAATGTTCTTGAAGAAAACCATCGACTCTATATTGCAGACTACTTTGTTAATTAAAAACTTTTATTAAACCAATAAGTATCGCAGCTGTATGAATAATCTATCAGCTTATTTCTTATGGCAGAGTAAGAAAGTAATAAATAAATCGAAGGGAATAAATGTACTTGCTTGAAAGAGCGATTTATACTTGTACTCTTACTAGGAAGAAAATAGGAAATATCACATGTCCAAACTGTTATAAGACTATTGACGTCCATCATTCTTAAAAATCGTAAATTTGTATTTTATCTATATATATTGATCTTATCTGAGTAATCTGCGTCGAGCGACGGTACTTGAGTTTGTACTCATTGGAATGGAGTATACTATGGTAAATCAATAATTATTCCACATATACTTAATGAATGGATTGGCAGAATTATACCCTGAACAGGGTACGCCACGAGGTTATAACACCCAGAAGAAAACGTCGGAGACCCTATAAGTATTTTAAACGCGAACTACTTCCTAAGTTTTGAGATATCGATCAGAAGAAATAAGAAAATGCACCTGTGAAGAGTATTATACGTTAGGTGTAGCCGAACGGTTAACGCTTTTTTGTTTTATAAGCATTAAGGTTTATCGTCAAAAGTACACTGGGATTTTAGGATTTGCTTGTCGAGGGGCTGAGTTGTCGACCCAAATTATTTATGTGTCTTCTATGCTTTTACTTAGCCTCTCATTCAATTAAGAAGAACAATTTAAAGTAAATGAAATTATGCACATACATGCACATATATATCCAGGAACAATACAAATTATTTATAGTACTCGTGAAGTAGCTTAGCGACTGTTGATAAGCGCATATATCTGAGTATTGCTGAGGAGAGTTGCCACTTTTATTACTTTTTTTATACAGAAACCATACTGAAATATTTAATTTCATACGTTCTTAACCTCAATTAAAATTTATTGATATTGAATTACAACTTATTTTTTTGCAAACACACATACACAGGCACTTTTCTTCTTCTTTTAAGAACAATGCTCTAAAATGTCTGTTAATTATACAATTTAGGAGAAGGCAAATTTGTTGTTTTTCATCGGTTGAATGATATGAAAGTGCAAAATGAGGCCAAATGTATAAATGAGAAAATATTTAGCGCTTAAAAGACATTTAGATAAGAAGAAATCAACAATCTGTTTTGAAATTTATAAAAAAATTAAAATAATAATAAAGTAAAAGTAACAGGCATAATACTTGAATATAATAAATAATAAATTACTGGAAATATGTAATAAAAAATTATTTAAAGTTGAGAAATTTAATCTAAAAAATAAATATTAAATAGAAATAAAAAAATGTTTAATAAAAAATATATTACGCATTTTTTTGAATTATAAAAATTTAAAAATATTATGTTTAAAAAATAAATTAAATATAACTGTTTATGAAATTGTATAAAAAATTGTAGATAAAAATATAAAAACAAAAAGAAAATTTGATTAAAAAAATGATTTTTGGCACAAAACTTAAAATATAAATACATTTTTAAAAGTAAAATTAAAACCTTCAGGTATGGTTAGAAAAGTACAAAAAAAAAGCAAAATTATAAATTAACTTAGTATAATAAAATGTGAAAAAACAACAAATAACCAGAAATATAAAATAAAAATAGTAATATATAAAAAAATATTTAAATCAAAATATGATAAATTAATATAAAAAAATCATAATTTTTAAATAAGAATTTGTCAAATATTATAAAATTAATTATTAAATCAAAATTTAATTAGTAATGAGAAAGAAAAATGGGGTTAGAAATAATATAACATATATTTTTTTAATTAAAAATAGGAATATCAAACAAAAATTTGAATGAAAATTTGACAATTAATTTTAAATTTTAAAATAAAGTAATTAAATATGGTCATAAAAATACTATAATATATAGATAATAAAAAAATAAAAATATATTATATATTAAATAAAGTATAAAATAAAAATATATGACATCCTAAGCGTGAAGATATAATAAAACTGAAAAAATTCAAAGAAATCATAATTGTGCGATGCGATTATTGAACTCGCAAGTAGTCATATATATAACACTTCATATTTGTATGTATGTATATATGCTTAAGGAAGATTTTGCATTCTAACACAGACACTTAGAATATATGAAAATATACAAAAATACGACTATAAGCTCAAGTATATTTAATAGCGCCTATCAATGAGTAAACCGCACTGTTATTGTCTATGTGGAAGAGGATTTCTTTGTTAGACCAGCCGACTTTCAGAAGTTGCCTATATTTTTAAGCACATAGTTACATATATATATATATATATACATTGCATAGACAATTGTGCATACAGTTTCTTGCCTTGTCTTTGACGCAGTCTTGCACTTTACATGCTCGCTTGTTTAATAGATTTTTTTTTTGATTCATAAGTAAATTTATTTACCGGATTGAGTATCGCGTCCATGGGTGCACTCATCTCTGCAAATTTGAGCTCGACGTTGCTGGAGCGCTGAAATAGTGCCGAACCATTCGTGCCGGAGACGGTGGACAACACGCTGCTGGAGCGCTGCGAAAACAAATAAAACGTTATTATAACGTAAAAGTAATCAATTCTTTATATAATAATTAAATATATTGCATTTAGTAGCTAAACCTTACAATAATCAAATTTCGAAGCAACTTCACATCACTCACAAATATTGTCTGAACTATTCACACTAACCGCTTTTATTTTTGTTTTGGTTTTTAACTCTGTTACTGATCAGCTGATGCACCTTGTCTGCATTCAATTACGATCTAACGGTATACGCCAGTCTCCAGCTGATTGCTATCAATTTGTTTGGGCTATTATCGAATATGAGATTAATGCAATTGAAAAAGCAGCGATTTACTAATTTCTTTGCAAAAAGAAAGGAAATTAATATGAAAATAAGAGCAAAAATCGTCCGCCCTGCCGATGGTGCTGCCAAATCTGCGCAATTTGCGCCTACCACTGCCGTTACTCACTGCTGTTAGCCATATTTTTTGCTGGCTGCAAGCGTTAAGTGCTCTACTGATTGTCGGCGAACTCTCTGTGTGCGCTAATGTGACTTGTTTGGTTGTTTGTTGTTGGACATTTTTACGTTTGCACGCGCTTCCACCCTTCCTGTTGCCAATTACGCTCACAAGCACACAAACATGTGTACGTATAGGCGTGCAATTAAATTTACACCTACGAATGGTGTTGCCACTTTTTTATAAACCTTTTTGAAGTTTATGGATTTTGGTATTATATTTTTGCGGTTTTGAAAGAGAAAAAATACTTATGTGGTGGTTTGAGATCGATTTAAAATCCTTCTCAAACTTGTGGATAACCCTTTAAAAGAGTAAATTGAATACAATACGTCGATAAAGACAATGACTGGTACACGGCAAATATTTTGATTTTATTGGTAAGTGGTATACCAATAAAATTATATGAAATGCAATTAATCGATTGCAATGTCATACTTCCAAGTGTACCTCTGCCATGAAAAAAAGTTTTTTTATGGAAATCCTTACCGCTATTGTCTTCTTATTACTTTAAATTGCTGTTCTAGATTTTTTCTATTACGCTTAGTTAAAAAAAAAACATGTTCTTACGAGATTTTATTGTATAGATGGGATTCTGAATAGATATACCTGTTGGTAAAGAACCTTCGTTGCCTCTACTTTTGAGATATATGGTATGTATATGTGTTTCAAGAAAACGTTATTGATTTTTCTATCTACGTTACTACAAAATTATTATTGAATCTACGGTATCTCTAGAGTATTTATTGAGTAAAAATCACTTGATTTAAAGATTTTTTTCGTTTTATCTCGTACAGGGTTTGAAGCCATTATTTTTTGTGGACTTATTTTATTTATGTTTTTAACTACATGGATCGTTTGAAGTATAAAATCGATAATTATCTGACATTGGTTGCGATTGAAAATTTTAAAGCTGTATCTAAACACATTAAAATCAAAGGACTAGCATTTGTACCCATAAGGTGAGTTACATAATCTGCGACGACCTTGTTGCTTTAACTATATCAAGGAAACTAGTGTATTGATGCTTCGATGAAGTTTTATACTTGTAATATCACTGATACCTAAGTCCCCTTCAATCTACACATATCAAAGTAAGGGTAATCATTTCGTTGGTTAACCGACTTTTGTACCCTTTACCATTGGCTTAAATCAGCACCCGTTGATGTTAAGGGAATATTTAGTAAAGTGAGAAAGCAGCACTATTAGGCCCAGAGATTCCAGCGACGTAGTGAAAAAACATCAAATGTGATCGGTTTATGTGAGAAGAGTTTCAGTATATACAAAACTCTGTAGAACTTTCTTACATTACTACAACTAATAAATAAATTAATGTATTGAAATTTTATTACTAATTTTCGGGCATAATTTCATATATTTTTGATTTACCATATATATTTTAAACTAGATGGCAACACTGCTTAGATCTATTAAACACTAATACACACACACACACAAAGAACGCGTTGTTATCTGCACTCTCCCAACTCTCAAAACCCCACCAAAAATAATTTATCAACATACACATGTACTTAGATTTTAGAGTATTTGTGTGAGTGTGTGTGTATGTGTTCAACTTACCTGTAGCAGCTCTGGCAGTCTGTCTTTAACCATTGTTGCTTTTGTTGTTGTATACGAGTCAGCGCCGGCTGTTAATTAAATATTTTTGCTGTTTTTCTGTTGTTATTTCGTCGTTGTTGTTGTTTTTGTTGTTAGCGCTCGCTGTTGTTATCACTGATATTGTAGTATTTTACGGCAAATTCTATTTTGTTACGAAACTAATATTTACGCTCAGTGTTGACACTTTGGCTTTAGGACTGCGCCAAAACTGAGACGTTTTCATAAGAACACAAAAGGCGCACATGGAGCGAGCACCCGCCCCTCTAAGCAAATACTATTAGTATTTTCAGTATTTTTTCGTGTTTTGCACTACTTTTTATATACTTTATGAGTATTTAAATTTTTCTTACGTATATATTGCACAACCATTTATAGCACTCTTTTATCACTTGTCATATCTTATATTTCTTAATGGTAGCACATATTCGTTAGTTTTCTTATCTTTTGGGCGATAACATATAAAAAGTCTTTATTTTCGTATCGAATATAGATTCCTTGAGTCTGTAATTATTTTTAGTTTCTTACAATTATTCTAATTCTATAAAAACTAGTTTATACTGTGTTAAAAAATCACTTATATACATTTTAGATCTTAACACTACCGGAAGAAGCTTCTACGTTTAGAATATAGGATGTTGCGAATTTGAGCATTTTAATTTCAATTTATTATATGTATGTATCATTTAGTTTTCTAAAGTAAGGATCAGACAATTTAGTGTAATCTCCTTCTATCTACTATTTATCTTATCACGAATTTTGCATATAGTTTTATATATAATTTTGCATTCTCAATGTATTTTATTGAAGAACTTATTCTGGTAGACCAGGAAAAACAATTTTTGAAAACAAAAAAAAATCACAGAAGGATGAAATCCATCGGAAACCAAAGATAAAAAAGCAAACATTAAGGAAGAAATAATTTACGGGCGATCTGAGGTCGGGAAAAGGCCGGGGAGGGGCGTGTTTGAGTTTTTAAAGGTTAAGAATGGTTTATCTCGGCAATATTGTAGGTAATGAAAAGGCCTCTACCCTCAAAGCTGATATTTATTTTCTTCAAAATTTGATTTTCATAGCATTGCTGTAAACACTAAGTAAACATCACAATTTCAAGTACAGTATTTTCCTTCTAGAACTCTCTCGCAATATCTGGCAAAGACTTTTTTGGGATCTGCCCACGGTTTGGCAGGATTTCTTTCGAAATTCCTTTACAAAGCTTTTCGGAAGTGTTATGTAACATCTGAAAACTATGCGAATTTTTTTGGAAATTTGAAAGTTATGTATTGTGTAAATCGACGTTAACATAGCTTAGTCCGTCCGCAGCTTCTACATATTTAAGTGTATAATAGGGTATGATGATAGTAGAGGAAGAGTGAGGATACTCACTGAGTATAATTTCCTATTTAGCTTCCTGATCTATGACCATAATATTGCAAATAAGAAAATGTAGTTATTTCAGGCGAACAGTCTAGCCTATATTATATATACATATGTGTACATTTCCGCTCTTTCCGGTAGCCTTTACAGAAATAATTTTTACAGTAATATCGGTACACTTAGGTACTATATTTTCTTCTTATCAATGTTTGTAAAGAGTCAATGGTCACGCTAAATTCTTCGATGACGTAGTGATGGAAGTTTTATATTGACTTTTTGATTTGATCACATAACAAGAATTCCTTAAAATATAAATTTATATTTTACTGTTTATTAAAAGGTTTATTCCGAAATTAAAGAGGGTTTAATGAAGTAGCAGATCACTTCCTTAATAAGCCTCGATGCGTAAATGATTTTCGGTGTGTGGTGATTATTATTCTGACATTTTAGCAGACTAAACTGAAATCTTTATCGTTTGGAAACGAGTGCAGTCGTGATTTGTGTCCAAGTTTACTTGTCATTTGAAGAAAAAAGTTCTTAGGAGTAATTCCAGCAGACTCTGGATCAGAGATGATCATAAAAAGGTTTCAAACATAATCCTTAAGATGACATAATTCCTGAAACTAAATATCTAGTTAAAATCCATTATCTTTCTAATAAGTATGTAGATTATTAACTTGAGTTGTATCAGTGCGTTCGGAATTAAACCTAGACACTGACGATGAGAAAATACACTATACGCAGTTTTTCTGCGATAAAGGCAAAAACTAAAGCCAGGATGCTTAAAATGAAAATAGTGTTTATAGTCTTGATACAGCAACAGCCAATAACGCGAAATTTTTCTTGGTCAATTCCACGTCTAGAAGTCCACTTGTCGCAACAGTGAGATAAGAACTGTCCTGATTACTCAGGGGCTAAACATTGGTCAAAAACTTGTTTGGAACGATTTAAATATGGAAGGTTAAAAGTAGAATCCAGATGTCTAGGTGTGACACGAGTTAACGCAACAAAACTTCGTTTAACGAATTTCCATCTGAGAATCGCTGCTGAATCATAACAAAACCGATACATTTCTGAAGCGGATGGCTACTGGTGGTGAAAGGTGGATCATTTACGGCAACGTTATGCAAAAGAATCTTGGTTGAATAGTGGCGAGCCGGCGTAAACGGTAATCAAGTCAGGTTTAACGGTAAGGAAGATTTTGCTATGTGTTTGGTGGGATTGGCAGATAATCAGAGACTATGAGCTGCTTTTCTACGGCTAAACTCTTAGTCAGGACCAGTAATATCAACAATTAAACCGCCTAAAGAAAGCATTCGCCCAAAAGTGACCTTAGTCAATATGAGAGGAATACCATCATCTATAGTGACTCGACAGAAGCTTTGGGAGCTTGGTTGGGAAATTCTCATACACTCACCTTTTAGAGGAACCCGTTCCTGCCTAGAAAAATGATATTGGTGGCGAAAAATTTGCCTCAAGAAAGCTTGACTGTAGAAGGTTTGACCTTCAAAATTAAACAGGTTATCGGACAAAACTTTGGATATTTGACCTAAAGCGGATCGTTTTAACTATGATAAATTAAATCTACAATTTAATGCAAAATTAATTTATTTTTACTTTTATATATAGCGAAGAAACGTTCCGGTCCAATCAAAAACTTTCAAAGTAATGCTAACTTATTCCAATACAAATATACACAAAAAGATTTTAAATTTTTTTAACTATTCGAATAAGCAACTCATTTTAGCCACTTAAATATGATACTTAGCTTTATTTTTAATGCATGTAGGGTATATCTATATTGTTCGAGGCCGCTCGAATCTTCATTGGTTTTATTATGAAATCATTGCAAATATGACAAGGTTCATATACTTTTTTTTACAAAGCTTTGGCGAAAAATTTATATTTTTTATGACTTAAGCAGCTCTTGCAATATGTGATCATATTGTTATTGACATATTAACAAGAGAAACAAAAAAAAAATTGTTGCAATTTCTAATTTTGGATTTATTTGTTGATTGAATTTAAAATTGTTGGTATTACATCACCTTGTATATTTCAATTTGCTTTTGATAAAATCGAGTTTAATCTGATATATAATATATTCATTACCTTTTCAATAAAAGGTAATCATTTCGCTTCTAATGGCTCCATATGTAAGTAACATGCGAAAGCTTTCTAGGGTAACCTAACGTTTAAGCCCGTTCTGGGGTTATTAGCTTGAAGAGATGGAAACCGATATTGCATAACTATTTTGTTCCCAGTTTTCCGATTTTGTTGGGCCTTTGCATTTTGGTATAGTAGAGTTCCCGATTAAGATCGTTGGCTATAACTGAGAAAAATATTTTTCAAATATAATTTTTCTCGGCCTTTAGTTTAATTATTTCATTGAAAATTAGGCGGTATGATGTGTATGAGCCAAAGCTTGTGAAAAAATATAATATACATACATACGAGTATATAGTTGTGAGTAGAATTTTGATGCTAACTGACGAATAAACAGACTAAAGGATTTTAGGAGAAGCGTTTTGATGATAGAAATATGCACGAAGATTAGTCATCGTCTGGTCAGTGATATCTAATAGTGTTCGGAACAGAGTGGAGCCTCGGTCCAGCCTAACAGAAAGGTATGAAATCGAAGTTGAAACATATACCATAAGAGATCAATGAAGTTTAGTTCAGAAGTGACTTTCACTATACCTAGCGAACTAAATGTGAGAAATTTAAGAATGAGCAGTTACCTTAAGTTCATCTCAAAGAAATACATTTTTGAATTAATCTGAATAATAGGAGTGTAGATTGAGTTTGACACAAAGTTTGTAACACCCAGTAGGAAACGTCAGAGACCTATTCCATAAAGTATACATATAAATAATCAGCGTGATGAGTTTAACTATGTCCGCTTGTCTGTCCGTCTGTATATACACGAACTTGACGCTCAGCTAGGGAGATATCGATCAGAATTTTTGCACACGCCCTTTTCTCGCCAAGAAGTTGCTCTTCTGTCGGAACCGCCGATATTGGACCATTATAGGATATATCTGTCATACAAACTAAACGATCGGTCAAGTTCTTGTATGGAAAACTTTTTTATTTAGCGAGATGACATATATTCAAGCATTTTGGCATTATTTCGGCATAATTGTCTAAGGCAATGGTACAATCTTTGAAGAAATTGTTCAAAAATTAAGATAAAGATTTTTATACTGTTTTATGCTATAAAATAATGCATTATAACAGCCGAAGTTAAAGCTTTTGTTTATTTTATCTTGAAATTGATTGGTTCAGAGAAAAGACATCAGTGTTACTGCTTAAAGTTCAAGTTCAAAGTCTGGCTTTTGTCGAAGCAAGCAATCAAAATTACATCAATTGAAGAGAAACTAATAATTATTTAATGCAATTAGAAACGACTTGAAGTGATTTTCAGCTAAGAGGTACTTATTAAATCTTTTAAAAATGTATTTATTAATTATATTTATAATATTAAGTAATAAGTTTGCGATTTCCTTGCCTATTACCTCAGAATTATTAATGTAAACGGGCAGTGTGGTGTGCTAATGTACATCAGTATGTGGAGCTTTCGATTCACTCATATAAAAAAATTTCCGAACGTATGCACGTAGGTGTGTATGAATAATCGCAATGCCGTTGATAAATAGCATCCGAGATTTATAGTAGAGAGTATAAACTAATATAGCTTTGTAATTGTTGTTGTACTGAATTCAGCAGTATCCATTAGTATTACGGACGTATATAGTATTTTTGCGGTTTTGCAAGTAACACCTGCTAGAAGCAGTTTCTTTTCAAATACGTCATTGCTTAAACACACACAGACATGGATTAAATGTTTGTTTGGCACTTGTTAGTAGTTAGATTAGGCGCGCTAATTTCACTAGAATAACAGCATGAATTAGCTGATTTCACTAAAAACTCCATTATTATGTATTTTTTTGAATTTCTTGCACCATTTTATATTCTCTTTTTCTTTTGACTAGCATTTAGTCATTCTTGAATTCTGAATTAGTTATTTCACTTTTTATTTGTTGAATTAAAATTCAGAGGAGACAAGGCGCTTTAGTCTTAAAATTGCCTCAAGAGCTCGTCGGCTTGGCGTGGCACGTACGCGCGATCACTGCCACAATCCAAGCGATCACCGATTAGCGATCCGCACTGACAGCTGTAGCTTACACATTACCTTGAAGCGATTATTCACTTGTGTTTTCCATATATTATTCTCGTTTTTTTTTTCTCTTTCTTCTTGCTACTGTCGGCATATGCTTGCGCTAGTATGTGCGACCGTTGTGGCAACCGGGCGCATGCTAGGATTAATTGTCGCCTTGTCTACGTCTTACTACACCACGCTAGATAGATAAGTGGTCTCGTCACTTGGCCGCTGTTGCGATAAGCGCTACTTTCGCAAAATGATACATTAAAGTAGTTTATAATAAATAAAAATTGAGGTAGCTGTGCGTTGTGACGACGGCCGCAAAAAACGCGCGTCAGAAGTGTACTGAACGCGGCGAGCGCAAGGCGGTATTTGCTTGCCCGCCGCTCAGCGCTGTTCAGGCGCACGTCGCGATTGCAAATGCGCTGCTATGATTTTGATTGCTCACGCGGCTTCAAGTAAGAGCAGGCGATGGCGTGGCTGTTGAAGTGTGTATAGTGATGATTACGAATGTATGCAAGACGTTCGCTGAGCGCCGTTGTTGCGTCAGCGGCTGTGATAGCGGCAGTAAATAGTATGTGTCGCTTATTGTGGTTATCATTACCTAAAAGTGTATACAATACATTCTTTGTGGTATTTTTGCCAACATTGTTGTTGCTACTACGTATGTAGAGCGCCCTTATTTACACAACCTTTTATATGTGAGGCCCTGCTCTTTGTACAATTTTCTTCGTTGTTATCGCACTTTTTTCTTACTCATACTGATATGATATGATTAGCACTAGCAAGCGGCGTAGACGCTATCGCGTGAGAGCGTTCTCCACTAAATCGACATTAAGTTGAATAATTTATTTGCGTGCACGGAAAATGAAGCGCGCAACTGCTAACTTCACGACGCCGCTTTGAAATCATCAATGACAGCGTGCCTTTTTCACAGCTCAATTGCAATAGAAACTTGAACAACGTGCTCGAAGGTTGTGAGTACTTACATATAGCACATTGTAACTATGCGTCTGTCAAATGGATTGGTTGAATGACTTATTGAGTGTCCGAGCGCTTGCCATTACAATGTTGTTGTAATCGGCGCGCAGACGGTTTCGTTTGCGCGCGTTGTGTCTTTGTAATATGAATTCAATTCTTAAATCAAAATTTGTAATACAAAAATATTTTCGCTTTTCTATTACGAATTTGCAAGTTTTTGTCTTTGTCTCATTTATCACTTTCTCGCATTTATTGCCCTTACCTAGATTCTCATAGATGTGCATATGCATGTGTGTACGAGAGCGGTTTGATTGGTCAATGAATCGTTTCTTGAAAAGACAACCTCTTTATTTCCAAAGACAGACTTCCGTTAAATATGATATATATTTATCAGCGGATACCAAACCCTTAATCCTGATATCCTAGGAAGCAATTGAAGTTTAATGCGTCTTACTTTAGGATTCCTGAGTTGTTACACAACTGTATGATTATAAATCATATGTTTGCCGCTTCTTCATCGAATCTCCATACCAAAGTACAGGCAAATTTTTCTGCTTACTCATTTGAAAACGAATCGTAAGGAAGAAGTCAAGCTGAGCTCAATAAAGGATTATATATCTGCGTGCGAAAAAAGTGGGTCTCTACTTAAACTATCTGCCGCCTTAACATTCTGGCAAACAGACTAGAGTTAGCTTATTAGAAAGGCATATTTTTGAATTCTTCTAAGATATTCAGCTCGAGTAGTTTCTAATTTAATTGGATATTGCTAAAGAGGGAGCGATAATGTTTACTTAAAGTTATCATTTACAAAATTCTTTCAAAGGTTTTGGTATTATCTGATAAGTACTGGTATTATTTAGTTAGGAAATGTAAGGTAAGTCTTTTGAGATCTGAATGAATATTTAATAATCAGTTAAGTTGATTACTGACTAACAGGCTCGTGACTTTTTCAGAAGGAACGAATTCTCTTTTAGTGCTTTTTATCGGTCAGTTTGTATGGGTGCTATAGTCTACAGTGGTCCGACTTAATGACTTGTTAGGAGATTGTAATGCTGCCTTGGACCATAATCTAAATATATCAAATTTCGTATATATATTGTCAAAAAAACAGTTTTTCATACAAGAACTTGATTCAGATCGTTCAGTATGTATGGCAGCTATATGCTTTAGTGTTTCGATATCGGCGATTCCAACAAATGAACAACTTCTTGCCCAGAAAAGGACGCGTGCAAATTTTCAGTTCGATATCTCCCAAACTGACTATGTACAGACGAACAGATAGTTCTGAGATGGCTAAATCGGTTCAGCTAGTCACGCTGATCATTTCTACAATATATATATTTTATAGGGTCTCCGACATTTTCTTCGGGGTGTTGGAAACTCCTTGGAAAAATACTCGTTTCCGAGTATAATAATTAATAGGCACTGACTTAAAGAATAGACCTTGTATGAGTTAGCACTTTAAGAGAGTTTTTTCATTTTTTTCTTATTACAATTTCAAGTAGCGCTTTTCAAGAACTTTCTGCTATCATTCTTCTAATTTCGCATATTTTTCTCCAACACAGACATTTTCACATATGCATAATTGTTTTAACACAAATAGCTTATTTCCACTACCGCTCCACTTATGCACCGCTTAATACATACATATACACTCTAACAAACTTTGCACTGCGAATATACACACGTGTGTGTACTATGAACCGCACGCTGGAACCGGTTATCCAATTTAATTGTTCTTCGACGCTGCGCCGCCGCTCAGCCGCAGTCGCGCCGCTGCTTGTTGGCGAATTTGTGTTAATTGCACTTTCGCGGTGACTGTCAGATCGCGAAGCGGTACACTCATATAATGTACATACATATAGTATATCTATGTTATATTTAGATATACTGAGCGTAATAAGCACACAATGAAGATATCTCCTTTGCATTGCATACCGCTTTGCAGCTCTGTCCCAGTGCCGCTGCCCCCTCCCACCAACTCTTGTTGACTTCGGCTGCGCTTTGGAACTCCGCCGTTCATGCGGTCTAACTTGATTTCTGTTGTTGTTGTTCCTGTTGTTAGTGTTGCCGGCAGCAGCTGGTGTGTGCGCGGTGGGCGGTAGGTAACGGTTTGTCCCCGCTGTTGTGTATATTTCTATAGAATTAAGCTTAAAAGATTATTTTCTTGAATATTTCTTTTATTTATAACACAAACAGGCGCATATATTCTTTCTTAATAAATGTTTTATTGTAGCTTTTTGGCTGTGATCTTCTTGTGCATTCCTTTGAGTGTGATTCTTAACACTGCGAGAAATTGTAGCGGTTATTTTTTCTTAGCGCGTAAAGTCTCAGTGCAGTGTTGACTCTAATATGTAGCGAGGTAACAAGCTATGCTTTCTCTTTGACGCGATGCAATAATTGACACATTTCTTGACCCAGACCCAAATTACCTATAGAGAAGGAAACCAGGAAAAAACAAGGTATCTGACTTTTTCTCATTAGTAAATTAGCGTTACCTCCTAAATTTTGATATCACTTTTAATATAAAAGGTTTAGGAGCAGGTTTTTTTTTCGACAAAAAAGAAATCCTTAGTTATCAGTGGATTTGTCTATACAGATTCATAAATATCGTAAAACTTTAACTTTGCAGCGGCTATACTGGTAACTTTTATACGTTTTTCTAAGGATTGTGGTTACAGGTTCATTTATATGAAATGAAGAAGTGAGATACACTACATTCTTAAAATTTTGAAATGAATAAATACTTTTTATTAAATAAAATAATTCTCGCAAATCTTCTTCCCTTCCAATATTGTTAAAGCGAAGTCGTTCTTTCTTCTCCTCGTTCAGATCATATCAAGTATTGACATCGTTGTTTTGGAGAAAGTGGAAACTCTTCATAGACTTAATTTGAAAATAACTAAAAGTATTACGAAATTTATTGGACTAACAGCTTTATCTACGTCTCGTCTTCCAATATGATTTTTCTCATTATATAAAATCATGATTTAATAGATTTTACTCGTTATTCTTCTTTTGAAAATCAATTAAGCGTTATGTTGAATTCAGACGGTATCAGTGGATGCCAACTAAAGTGATTATTCAGCTTTTGTACATAAATTGAAGCTCATGTATGATAATATAAAATATTTATATACAATAAAGTGTAGGAGTATCGAAAATATTTAATATTCCAGTTGTAGCGAAAATTTTGGTTGGAATTCAAGTCAATTGCAGAGGAGTTAAAATGAGGAAGAAAAAGTTGAAAGATCTCAACGATGATAGGTTATTTTCTTTCTGAAATGGTTCATTGTCCTTAATTCTAACCCTATAGTGCCTTTAATTTTCCAGCTTTACTAGTTCCAAGCAGCAGTATCTTGACTACTATCATAAGACTTCTAATTCAACAATTAAGTGCGAAATTGACTGAGATAGTGATGATTTAGTGAATTCCAGAAATTAAAGACCTAATTGATTTCAATTCAATAAATTATATGATAATTAACTAACTATTTAAAATTACAAACGTCTTCAAGCGACGTTTTGAAGTGTGTTTACTGATGTTAGGAACTTTGAGCTTGATTAATAAGAAAAAAACTATATATTTGTTTCCTTTTAGACAGCGATCACACTACTATTATTTAAGCTAAATGAAGTAAGATTAAGCACCATCTATAATGAGTCAATAAAAATCATAATTGCTTCAGCCTATTTGAACGATATTATGTGCAACCTCACCTAACTTTATTAAAAATTTATAAAACCAGTGCTGCTGGAATTTCGAATTAACGTTTTGAATTAGAGCTTTTCACTGTGCTAAATTCTACGAAAAAAACTGTAATCATAATTTTTATATTAAACGCCCCAGTGTGGCAGTGTTGCAAATTTTGCAATACTAAACAATGTACACTAATCCGTGCAATACAAACAAACATATACTCATAGTATAATTATTTAACTCGTCAATCATTTCTATTGAGTTCAACTAAACACTGGACTACTCTAGAGTCCTAATTGCAGCAAGAATAATAGTGTAATTATTTATAGATTTTACTGCATTTATTTAACCAGATAAATTTGTAGAAATTTTACTGTTGTTTTTGTTGGTCATCCGAAATTAGGTCAATTTGTATGGTAGGTTTAATGGGTTACACATTTCTCTTTCACGAAAGCGAAATGTTACAACTTATTTAAAAAATAATGTTTTCAATAATGGATTTTGAAACACTAATCTACTCTAATATTATAGTAAGTTTCTAATAGTATATTTTATATATACTTTTCTGACAGTTTATATGTCCTCCTACTTAGACAGATATTAATTTCAGCTTGGTTCAACCATATTCTTTGAAGTATATTTGCTTCTTTAATATTAAGTCATAGTTTTCAGGAATATATTGTATAACATGTCTGACGGAAGTTCGCAACAGGTTTCAGATTGCCAAATTGCAACTTCTTCTTCTTATCAAACCACAAAATGCATAACCCTGTATAAACTACCTACTATGATTGAATTATTTGTGTCAGTTCGCTATGCATATCTATTTTGAAATCTATTGCACTAATTGCACGATAACAAATTGCAATTATATTGGTTTTTGTTTTATTTTCACGTTGTGTTCAACACCCAACCACTAATGATTGGTATTTTGTGGCGTATTTAAATTTTTTTGACCAAATAGGATTTAGTTCAATAAATGTGCAATGCTGGAATTAGCAACGAAATGGTATAAAAATGTGGCCACCCTTATGAAGTGATCATTTAAATGCGGTTGCACGAACTAATTGGCGTGTTTAATGCAGATATTTATCTAATGGAGTATAATTAACCAAAAGGCAACATAACCTAAAATGTTACAATAAACGTGGCATGAAAAAAATTACATTCGATAACCAGAAAAGAAGTATAAATTCGATAGCAAACTGAGGAATTTGAATAATTATAAATTGATTATTCGAAAATTAGAACCGATTGCGGTTATACATACATAC